AGAATTGGGGATTTGTGGTACGCTTTCAATGAAAAAAATATAATTGTATTCAATGTTTTACTGTTCAAGAAAATCAGATGAAAGAGCCTAGTAAAATAACTTATTTAATGTGATGGCTGCCCAGCAAAAATAGGATCTTCAGTGTACTACAAAGTTTAATGTGATTTACTTTGATATTTTACAGAAACACATGAATTTAATAACCTCTGAAGATATTATGTTGTGCAGTTCTTATTTATATGCCCAGAGATAAATTGAACAGCTGTTGAAACTGAATCTGTAACACCATTTAAAAGGGAATTGGATAAATAATGCAGTGGAATGGGATTTGAGGAGAAATTCCAGTGGGGGAGTTTAGCTCTCCTTGTCTTGCTCCAGCAGAAGCCTGTTCAATTCCAAACAGGCTGGTTACATCACACCATTTCTTAAAACAAAATCTACCTTTATTAAAAATAAAAATTAAAGCAGTGGGTTTATGAAGAAATTTCTCTTCATAGATTAGCTCTGTGTGCTCTTGTATAAAAATCTAGCTACAACATTGTCTGTTCTCACTGGTATTTCAGTGATATTGTTTTCCCTTTTCTAGTGTTTTCTGAAAATTACTTCACCAAACTAGTGTAATGTAGCTTTGTTCTAAATTATGACTACTTCAAAATGTCTGTAAAAACATGTATAGTTCTGACTTTAGGTTCCCTGAATATAGAGAAGTGTCTAACACACTGTGTCAGCTGTGCAGTGTACTCAGAACTGTTCTGCCACATACATCACTGCACTTTACCTACATCCTGACACATTTGGCATTCTTTGATCACAAGATCATAAATTTGGTTTGGGTGAAGGAGGCCTTTTGGTCAATCTGCTTTGACAGGTCAGGGCATCATTTCCTGTGATTCAATGCAGCCGGCAAATGCGGTACAATGGAGGATAGGGGAGCAGTGTTACGAATTAGGAGACGATTAATATGACTAGTGCAAAGATATCTAAGTGATTTTGATAGGACACTGAATGGGACTCAGGTGGATGTGTGGAGTAGGTGATTATATAATTTAAAAGGTAAGACTTATGGAATCCTGTAGCTCAGTGGTTAGAGCACTCGCTTTGCAAGCGAGAGACCTGAGTTCAATTCCAGGCAGAGGGCGAAACCTTGGGCAAGTTTCCTTACTCCACACAGAGCCTAATAATAATCCCTCCAAAAACAATAATAAATTGGTCATTTTCAATCCACGACTGTTTGTGGGACATTGCTGTGCGCAATTGGCTGCCGCGTTCGCCCACTAATACACAGTCAATTCACTTTACAGTGTGTTCTGTGAAGCGCTTTGGGACGTCCTCCCGACGTGAAAAGTGCTATATCAAATGCAAGGATTATTATTATTATTATTATTTTACTACAGAAGGTATGGGAGGGAGTAAAGAGCGGTGGAGAGGGTGGAGTATAAATACCGGTATGAACTAGTTGGACCGAATGGCCTGTTTCCGTGCCATACATTCTATGTAAAACACTCTTCTTGAATGGTGCCATGGGATCTTAAACTTCCACTTGAACATGCTGATGGGACCTAGGTTTAATGTTTCTTATAAGTTACACTGAACCAAATGATTGAACAAAACAAATACTATATCTGCATATTAATCACAATTAATATCAGTGATATGATCATTACCAGCAACCTAGATCAGAAACTAGGTAAGAACAATACTCATACACTATTGAGAGTTGTAATAAGAGTGACCAGCTTGGATACATGCAAATAATGAAAATTTAGAAAGTGATATCCACTTCACGTGGAATATGCAAACAAGCTTAGAATTTGGAGTAATCATTCTCACAGGCGGCACTGAGCTGTACAGACAATAAAGATTTAAGTTGGAGCCTATATGTGGTCCGTGTCCTTGGCTGGGGAGAAAACTCAACACATAATTCTGCTCTCCATTGTGCCCAGTGACGCCTGGTAGGAACTGTACTGTCCGGTTTATAACAGAATTGGTCTTAGGAGTAATGTTCTTGTGGTCATACTGCTTGCTAATATTTAGTCTTGCAATAGGTTCACACTTGAACATTAACCCCTGACACAATATTTTAGCATAAACTGTTGCAGAGAAAAATGGACAAGATAAATGGAATTAAATGCCTGCTTCCTTACCAGCTTCAATTTACTGTAGTCAAAGCAAAGCGCTGTTATCAATTTCCATCGATTTTGTTTCCCAAGGAAAGTACAGCTACCCAGACAAGCTGCTTTAAGGAATCAATTTGCTAATTATTTTTAAAAAATAATTAAATAGTGAGCTCAGGAGGAATTTGGTTATACAGTATTAAATTAACATATTCAGAAAATAATTAAAACAAAACATAGTTTCTTCAATTATTCTCTCAAACTGTATCCTTGTGGTGTACACAGACAATTCCACAGGGGAAATCTGGAATAGAGAATTTATTTCAATAATTAGGAAGACCTAGTGTAATAACTAATTTTGAATGCTTTCTAAATTATAGCATCTACATCCCTCCCTTTTCCCCTGTTAAAAATAATAATCCTTGCATTTGATATAGTGCCTTATCACGTCTTCGAGACGTCTCGAAACACTTCACAGAATATACTGAAAAGTGAAGTATTTCATACACCATTTTAAAATAATGCAAACAAAAATACAGTCAATCCACTTTACAGTATATTCCGTGAAGCACTTTGAAATATCTGAACCGCCACGATAAGGCGCTACATCAAATGCAAGGATTATTATTTATTAAGACTCCTACCATCTGGATTTTTTTCAAAGAAAATGATCATATTCCACAAATTAGACTCACTTACGGGGACGAGAGCACGTATAATATTGTCCAAAAAAAAGACGAGTGGGTTTTCCTAGCTCGAATGAATTATCAGTTGAGCTCCTCACTCACTCAGAGGCTGGAGGTGAAGAGCAGAGGGGGGGAAAAAAAATCGCAAATAATAATAATAATAATCCTTGCATTTGATATAGCGCTTTTCACGTCGGGAGGACGTCCCAAAGCGCTTCACAGAACACACTGTAAAGTGAATTGACTGTATATTTGTGGGCGACCGCGGCAGCCGATTGCGCACAGCAATGTCCCACAAACAGTCGTAGATTGAAAATGACCAATTTATTATTGTTTTTGGTTTTGGAGGGATTATTATTAGGCTCTGTGTGGAGTATGGAAACTTGCCCAAGGTTTCGCCCTCTGCCTGGAATTGAACTCAGGTCTGTCACTTGCAAAGCAGTGAGTGAGTGAGTTAGTTAGTTAGTTCCTAGAGAGCGGTCACGTCGTATCGAGAGCATCAAAAGGAGGTGGTTACAGGGGGCGAGTCTCTCGCAGGTTTCTCTGCTCCTGGCTGTTCCCTGGGTCGGGCTGGACATCTGCAGCTTTCACTGAGAGTAAGTGAAGCCCCAGACGGCGCAATGTAGGATGTGCGAGCGGCGGCCACGCCTCGCTCCCACTGGCGGCCATGTTCCGCTGGCCCTGGCCACTGAAACCCACCCGCCCGCACGCCCGCCCGCACGGCAGCTTCATCACTTCACCCGCAGCGAAGACGTGTGAGAGGAGCCACTGTGTTTGGGAGCCTTCCTTCCTCACGTGACCGAAAAGAGGTCAGTTTTTTTAAAAAAAATACACACATTCAAAACAAACGCACAAAGCTGCGTTTTTATCGCAAATATAACTATTTCTTATCCCCCTTTAGTTTTTTTTTAAAAAAAATGTAGATATTTATTTTTTTTAAAAAAAAGCTCGGCTCGAATGCGAGGACTTGCCTTCCTTTGGACCTTCGGCTGATGTTTCTCTCGTCGCTGTGCTGTTGGCAGGGCCTGACAGGGTTATATCAACCCAGGCCGAGCAGGTCCTCGCTGCATTCCTGCACTCACTCACAATAACACTGCTCGTTGATCCCGAGGTGTGTTAGGAACCGTTTCGGGAATAAATCTATGTGACTTCACAGCAAACCAACGTGTCGATGGGATGGGTATTGCGCGCTCAGCGTTAGTTACTGTATTTAGTTGCCAACCGCAAGCAATTGTAATGCAACATCTCGTCTATTTCAGACCTCCTTTAAGAACAGTACAGAATAACAAACCCATTAAGACTCTGAATTGAATAGTCGGCGTTATTTTGTTCGGGATATTATTATTTTTTAAATGCTGACTGGAATGTACAATTCCAGTTTCATATTTCTATTTAATTGGAGGTAAACCGTAAGTGCAGAGTGAACAGAATCTCATTGCTGATTTGTAAAGTTGAAACTACTGTATAACTAATACATACCTTGTAAAAATACTGCTAACATTTTGCTTCACCGTTTTCAAATCGGAGGTAATCATAATCAATATTATCCCCACTTTTAACTGTCAGTTTGTTTAATGGCTGGTTTTCCACATCAAAGAACCGTCACTTTTATAAAACCTGAAACCCCAGAAATCGTAAAACTTCCAACACGTTTCCAGAGAAGAAAACAAACCCTCAGAAAAACACCATGTAATTTGTTTTCAGTGGGTGTAAGGACGATCCATTTTAAGAGCGTGAGTGGGATTTTCATTCTCTTAATTTGTGTGCAAGAACTTTAATCCCAGTACGTGTGTGTGTGTAAATATATATATTAACCGAGTAGCTTAACCTGTGCAACTAAAACAATGACTTAAAAATTAAAAAATATGATAAACATGAAATGTTTGAGATGCAATTTGATGCTTTATGATCCTCTCCCTCTCGCCTTTTCGATTATCAATAGGCGCCAAACTGCAGGCGCTTTGACTTCTCTGATAATCAAACCTGACGAGGAGCCGTTGAGCGGTTAGAAATCCCGCCTCGCGCCCGCGCCGATTGGTTTAAATATAAACCGTTAACGGTCTGCCCAGTGCAGACCAGACGCTCTTCACAGCGGCTCGTGCGGCTGTCAATCACCTTGCACCCGGGGCACGTGGGTCCCACCTCCTCGGCGCCTAGTGGTCGAGCAGGCTGTCAATCGCGGGCGGTGGCTCTCGATTGGCTACCGGAGCTGCCAGTTACTCGTGCAGGGGGCAGGGTGGCGAGGCTGGAGCGAGCGCACGGCTCGTCTGGAGAGAGAGAGAAAAAAAATCAATGGAGCTAGGCTGCAATGTTACCAGTACAAACTGCCTAGATTAATGAGAGTGGGATTGCGAGGTAACATGTAATTAACAAAGCCAAGGTCGGTCGGACACGTTCGTTGCAGTTCTTCATTGCATTTATGTAAGGCGCTTGATTCGTTGCAGAAAGCAAGCGAGGCGGGGGTTTCGAGCGGGGGGTTTTTGTTGGCTCGCCTGAGGACCGTTAAGCCGCAAGAGGAGCGAAATGCCGAAGCCGGTAAGTCAACGACGGGTTTTCAACAACTTGTTGCATTGCAATATGGACTCGAGTTAATGATATTAAGGCGCGCGCGCGCCTGTGTGTGTGTGTGTGTGTGTGCGCGCGCGCGCCCTGTCCAGCAGCTCACGATGGCGGGCGGACTCCTAATAAACTCGGTTGCCAGGAAATATTCTGGTTGTTTCCCAGTATCTACATGTTGGGTTGGGTCGGAGGGAGAGAGGGAGTGCTGTGGAATTCTGTGCTCGCAGCCTGAATTTTATTCCCTGAATTTTATTCCCTGAATTTCATTCCCTGACTTCGTTTCTCCCCTCTCCTGAGTCCAATGTAGTATTGTTAGTAACCATTTAGAAAGAGATGATGATGATAATAATAATACTAATCCTTGCATTGGATATAGCGCCTTATCACGTCGTTGACGCATCTCTAAGCGCTTCACAGAATTTGCAGTAAAGTGAATTGACTATTTTGTAAGTGGAAACTATCAACATGTTTGACTTTTTAAGTGTTTAATAAATCACTGATTTTAATATCTAGATGCCAATGTTTTAAACAGCAGACTGGTTTCAACTTCATATTTCTGCATCTATCTTTTCAAATAACTATCAAGTAGTTTTTAAACTTAAATGCTGCACTTCAGGCTGATTATCACATGTAATTTTAAAAACTAATTGGCTGTACCATTCCAATACCTTACATTTTTTACAGCATCTTCTGAAATACTGTGTGTCCTGTGTTTGTCAGCTACAACATTGAATGCAGATTGTGTTTTAAGAATATATTTTTGTTGAGAAATCTGGAGCAAAGATGAGGGCCAACAAAATTGATCGGAATAAGGAAAATGTATTTATTATATTGCCTTTATCCCAGCTAAATATCAGTTTTCACAAGAAATGTGGCTACCATTTCTGCCACTCTGGTCCAACAAGTGGGTGAATGACCAATTAATGTGGAAGTTAAATTTCTATAGCCACCTAAACCAGATAAAGTTTCTCAATTAATTGATAGCTGCGCCATTGGGCATTGCTGCTCAATAGCTACTGGAAACCAGGCATTGATTTGGAACAGACTCACCTGGGCTGGTGCTGATGTTCGGTGGACTACTTCTTGACGGTCCTGTGGGCCATGGGTTGGTCACCACTGACTTAAACTATCGGCTTGGACGTCAGTTTAATGTCTTATTTGAAAGGCGACAGCAATGAGTTGTAATGTCATTAATTGCTCTCTTACAATGTAACTGCAGCACGACTCCTTTCACTAATATATAAAACAGTTAATCTGTCCTCTAATCCTGGCATGCACATGGCCTGATTATCCTTGGAGGCTCCTTTGAGTTAAGATTGAGTGCATTTGCTATGTTATTTTTTGGGTATGGTTATGGGGGAGAAATGATTCTGTGCATATATAAACTGCTTGTCAGTGCATACATAAACTGCTTGTCAATACTATAGGCTATGTAAAACATAATTAAAAATCAAGAGACCTCAGTGAGTTTTTTTTGAAAAAAGGGGGTCGTGCCTGACAGGTGTCTGAAGCTTACAAAAACATTCGCCATGCTTCAGAATATCCTGACCAGACAGAGCGTTCCATTTGTATATGCTACTGTGTCTGGAATGGATTATGCACTCTCTCCCCAAATTAGTGTTGGGTTGCTGCTGGAGTTTAACCAATTATAACTGCATAGTTTGTCATTAAGACACTGTCTGGTAAACGTGCTGCTTGTCCAGCTTTGACCACCATTGGGCTTTAACTTACAGGGTTAACAGAATGTGATTGGGAAGAATCCCTGCTCTCAGAGACCTCCAAATCCAGCTGATGAGCTAGGTCTTCAGTGCCCTGGAGTACTGCAGACCTGCCTGACTCAGGAACTGGACCATCGAGGCTGCCACAGAGTGTTGACTTGATTGTGAAATCCCATTGCCAAGCTTGGGCTTAATCTCCAAAGAGATACTGATTTCCTTCTTCCCCACTCCTCCCCAGGAACATAGTGGGATAGTTTAAGCAGTTTTTTTTAAAAAAAATCCTTGCACAGCCCTTTACAGACTATCATGACCCAACTGTGCAGCGCCTTGGGACGTCCTCCTGACGTGAAAGGCGCTTTATGAATGGAATCTTGTTGTTGTTGTTGTATCGGTGTGAGATTATAAAAGGGAATGGTTGAAAATTCATGAGAATTTCCAAGTCTAGGTTAAAAGCAGACCATTTCTTTCATGTACAATTGGATACAATTTGTACAATTTACAAAGAATGTACAGCACAGAAGCAGCCCACTCAGCCCAATCAGTCTGTGCCGGTGTTTACACTCCATGCAAACCTTCACCTGTTCCTTACTCTCTCCCATACTCTTCTATTTCCCATTTTCCTCATGTCCAGTTTCCTGTTGAAGGCATCTACACCATCTGATTCAACCATCACTTCAAGCAGCAATCTCACAACCCTCTGCGTGAAGTAGTTCTTCCTAAATTCTCTCTTAGGAATCTCCTAGTTGCTCTTATATTTATGTTCCCTGGTTACAGACTCCTCAACTAGTGGACGCAACTTCTTTATGTTAAGCTTATCAAATCCTTTCATAATTTTAAATACTTCTATTAGGTTCTTCCTTAAACATCTCTTTTCTAGCGATTAAAGACCTACCCTAACTAGTCTGTCTTAAAGCAGTTAACTGCCAGCCTTGAAATGGGAAAATGTTAAGATATTTGGGGTCTGAAGGAGTTGTTTACGCCAAGAGTGTGAAAAAGTAGATCTATGTTCATGATCCCATGGCGCTATTTGAAAAGAGAAGGGAGTTTCTCTCCTAGTTTCCTGGCCAACGATCCCTCAAATAAAATTGGTCATTAACTCATGGCTATTTGAGGGACATAGCTGTGTGCAAACTGGTTGCTGCATTTTGCCCACAAAATAATAGTCACTCCATTTTATAGTCCTGTGAAGCACTTTGTACGTCTTGACGACGTGATAAAGCACTACATCAAATGCAAGGATTAATTAAAGATATACAATAGCTTAGGTGGCTATTTATCGTGGCTGTTTTCCTCATGGATAACAAACCCAGATATATACATCCCTAAATTAACCCTGGTTTAAGTGTATCCATATCGCACTATGGCAATGAGGGGCTAAGAGGTAGCTGAAAATTGAACTGTCAAGCCACAGATGAGATGGGAAGCATCTTCTATGTGCCCAGGCACACAAAAAAGGGAAACTTTCATGAAGTATGAAATGTAATACCACCTCTTTCAATTATTTTTCTGGAACACTTAATCTTTCTGCGAACGTTGGACATGAGATGAACAAATTTGTTGCATAAATTATCGAACAGGCACTTTGTAGGTAGGGCCTTTAATATGTTTCTCTAAATGAGGCTGAGCATCAAATTGCAATTGTTTTGTTTTATGTATTAATGTTTACAATATAGGTTGTTGCACATTGTGGTCTCTGTTAGATGTGTGTGGATTTTGAGCCGTGTTTGCTTGCATACATACAGGGCAGCCCTGTTATAACCTGAATTTGCTTAGAATGGCTGTTTTCCTGGGTGCTGGAGACCAGAGACGATTTATAGGTTGTCAAGTTGCTTTTTTTTCATGCTGCACATGTGCGATTATGTGCAGGAGTCTACACTGACATCACTGTACCACGCAGAAGGTGATGGCAGTGACTTGCCTACCTGAAGGTTAGCCGTTTTTTAACCACATGAACCAGTTAGTTGCTTGGCAACTTTTCTGCATTTGGGTATAATGTAGGACCTGAAACATTACACTTGCATGACCATGTTATAACGGAGTTGTCCTGTCAGTTCCTCAAATGTTGCATCTACAGTAAAAGTTAGATCAAGAACAAAGCTGAATTACGATGGAAGTGGAATGCGTTGTGTGTACATTTCAAGCCTGAATGAGCAAGTCTACTTTGGTCGGACTCCTATTCTTTTAATAAACAATCTTGTCACAAGATTGGTCTGGATGAAGAAGACCCTGAGGCTCATCTGACCCTCCCAGCCGCCATCATGGCACCAAGCTACTTTTTGAATGAACCTGGTGTCCTGACCTCTCCCACCTTGAGTGAGAATGAAGATGATGAAACAAATGTTCACAAAAGGAAGAAAAAATGTATGTGTAGTTCACCTCCTTTGATGAAACTTAATGTAAAGTAATATTCTATGCTTCTAGAGGAAAACCTTTGTGAATATTGCATAAGCTAGCATGCAGTCATGATAATGCAAGTGGAGAAAAAATATTGTTTAAGCAAGGCATCTTGGTGCTTCACCCCTGACTATCTGAAATTTCTTTGTGTTTTATAAAAAGTTAATTTATCTGAATGCCCAGTATCAACCAGAATTCTAGTTTTGTAGAATGGACTCATTTGTAAACCTGCTAATGTGATCTCTGCATATTAGTATCTCTTGATGGCGCTTGTGCATGCTTCAATGCCCAGATGAGTATTTTGTTTTCCATATGCCTTAGCTAAACAAGATGTAAAGATTGTTTTGGTCAGATAATTTCAGTGGTGAGAATGTGGAATTATCTGCCACAAACTAAAGTCAATCGATCCCATTAACATGGCGATTTAAGTACTGTTTAAATCCCCAGACATCATACTCGGTCTGTATGTGCTGTGGTCAGACTGCAAGACCTGTGTTGGGACTTGGAGCTTATTATCTACCGTGCACACGAGTAACGGGAGAGCGCTGCATTGCCTACATACCATCCTTTGGATGAGATGTAAAAATAAGATCCTATCTGCTCCATTCAAGTAGCAGTTATTTATCCCAAAACACTATTCAAAAGAGATTGCCTAACAATCCTCCAAATAAGTTGCTCATTCACTGTGTGGCTGTTTGTGGATCCTTGCTGTTTGCATATTAGCTTCCATATTTGCCAGCAAATATAATACAAATTGCATTTGTATAAGGCCTTTTACATCGAGAGGACATCCCAAGGAAAAATAGTCACTAGCTTAACAGCTATTAGCTGTGAAAGACATTGAAATGTAGCAAATATATTAAC